AGAACAAAAAGAACCCATATTCCGTAAACACTGGCAAGACATATTCACTCAGGACGACATAAACAATGAAGATTTCGACACTGAACACATCCGTACTATACACGACCACGTTAACAACAATACACATCTCATCCATCCATATAATCGCGGAAACTTAACCCGACTCCACCCAGTGGATTTCCCACCCATAACTATCAAAGAATTACAGCGCACTCTGAAAACATTCCAACGGAAAGCACCAGGCCCCACTAGTATCACTACCCATCAGCTCAAGCATCTCCCCAAAAACATGATACACTACCTGTTATACATATACAACAATTCCATATCAGCCGGATATTTCCCAGACTCACTCAAACACGCCATAATGATCTTCCTCCCTAAACCAAATACCTCACAACACCAAGTGCAAAACTACAGACCGATTTCACTATTAGACATACAAGGAAAGCTATTAGATAAAATACTGAACAATATACTATACGAACATCTCACATTTAATAACATTCACAACACAAGACAACACGGTTTCAGGAGACACAGAGGTACTCACACGGCGTTAGCAACATTCCATGAAACACTCGCCATACATCTATCCCTAAGACATACCATGGACATAGTGCTCCATGATGTGACCAAGGCCTTCGACAAGGTCTGGCACACCGGACTCCAAAATAAACCAATGCATCTCAACCTCCATCCCTCCTTTACAAAAACACTAGCAAACTACCTCACAAATAGAACAGCTTCGATCAGGATGGGATACCACATAAGTCTTCCCCTACAACTGCACACTGACGTCCCACAAGAAGCCTGCCTTTGACCCACCCTATATAGCTTCTACACCAACGAACTTCCACCACCACTTCCCTTATGACCTTATAACGAGTTTGAAACTTCCGAGTCCCCGGTCACGCTGATGCGCCGCCTTCGTCGTCCTCCGTCCGCCCTAGGGTCCCGGATGTAACGTTGGACGTGTTCCATATATTTGCCCTTCTTTGGGCCAGCTGATGCAGTATGCAGTTACTTGTCACTTGCTGAGGGTAGTTTTCCATTACTGGACAATCCGGGATCTTTCTTAACCACTTGTCCAGTCGTCTCTTGAATGTTGCAAGGGTGAACTCCCCTCCTCTCAGCGCTTTTGGCAAGGCATTAAAGAGCCTCGGTCCTGCAACGGACAGTGATCCCTCACGAAGAGTCTGTACTCTGGCCGCGGCTCGGTTATTAAATGGGGGAATCCTGCGCAGTCTCCCTCTGCTTTCGTGTTAATAGGTCACTCTTTTGGATGTCTCACTCTCAAGGTTGGGAGCCAGTCCGGTTATCATCTTCCAAGTGTACAGTATGATATACCTTTCTCTTTTCCTCTCTAGTCCCAGGTGCTTCAATCTTTCTCAGTAGTTCAGGTTCAGCTCCCTCATGCCGCTGATCCTGTACGTGAAGGTCCGCTGCACTGCCTCCAATTTCCGCACCGCACCCGCCTTTAGTGTCGCCCAAAGTTGGCAGCAATACTCAAGATTGGGGAGCACGAGGGCTCTGAAGAGTGTAATCATTGGTGCTGCTTCTCTCGTTCGAAATGTCCGCCATATCCACCCCATCCTGTGCCGGCTGCGAGTGACTATTTCCTCAATATGGGCATCGAACGTGGCTACAGTACTCATCAACACTCCGATATCTCGAACTAGTTGCTTCTCCTCAATTTTTGTGCCATCTGATCCCAAGTAGCGATGTGGCATCCCGATCTCTGTGCGGACTCTGTATCTCATTACTTCGAACTTGGTGCCGTTGAACTGCATATTGTTCACAAGGGCTCAATCGTAGATTGACGACAAGTCATCCTGTAACCTCTCGCAGTTTAGGTCATCTGTGATCTTCATCAGCACTCTTGTATAGTCCGCAAATGAAAATATAGATGCGTGAGTAAGCTCCGAGTAGATATCGGCTATGTGGGTGAAGAAGAGGATCGGTCCAAGCACTGAGCCGGTAAGCCCTGTGGCACTCCGCTTTTCACCCTCGCTTTTCTCGATTTCGAATTTCCAATTGCGACAGCTTGTACTTTATTTGTAAGGAAGTTGTGGATCCACCTTAACAGGCTTCCTCCTACCCTCAAGGGTCTCAGCTTTCCGAATAGCACCCCATTGTCAACTTTGTCAAAGGCTTTATCAATGTGCAGGTATACCACGTCCACGCCAGCTCCCTCCTCCAGCTGGGCCACAAGACGGTGATGGTGCTCCAGTAACTGTGACAAACAGGAACGATTACGCCGGAAACCATGTTATCCATTATTATACAGGTCAGCCTCTTCCATATAGTGGTCAAGCCACATCGCCACTACCTTATCAAAAACTTTGATTACATGCGAGGTCAAGGTCACTGGTCTGCAATTTTGGGGTCTGTCCCTCGAACCTCTATCACTATCCTCCATCTACCACCAGAACTATCCTCCATCATCCATCACTATCCACCAACAGTCCACTGCCAGGTCCACCATCACCATCTCCTCGCAGTCTGAAAAGAATCAAATTAATGAATTTGCATAGAAATCTGGAAGCGTTAATTTATAAAATAATGATACATTTTTACAGTGATAATGATACAGCCCCAGTGAAATGCCATCATTAATAAAAAGAATACATACTGATACTTCACAAGAAAAGATTATTATGTAGGGCTACTAAGAAGGCCAGATCTAAAAATTTCGAACTAATAAATTTGATGGTTCGAATTTATTGAAAATGCATCAACTTCCTGACAACATTTATTACACTTTCCTATACATGTAATGAAGCTAAAAAGAATCTTTGCAATCATGTTTACAAAAAGTATTTTTATAAAATGTAACGTTTTTTCTGATTTATCATATTTTTTTCTGACAAGAGTTTGCATAAGGATATTCAGAATTGTGATAATTGGGCATTATTAATAAAATTGGAAACAGTAGCACAGTCTACAATATATATAGGGAAATAGCGATTGATGTCATCACTCAACATTCTATTATTATGCCAGTATATTACAACTGCATCTCTTCAGTTGACTACTACAATACAGAAAATGCATGTGCAGATATCGTGCTGCATTATGACTGTATTTGCCAATGTTTACTTCACTCAAAAACACTCATCCTCTCTCATATACGTATGTATATACCTGCACACTCAGCGTCTCTTCACTCAAATAAATCGTAGCTTCCCATCTTAGCTACCGATTCACTGTAATAAATTAGCTCATACTATGGAGTTTTATAAGCAACTCCAAGTAGTAATGCAGTGTCAAATTTATCACATGAGTATTACATTACCTCTGCACCATTTTTGGGTGAGAACAAAATCTCAGAAGCTGGTTTATTCTGAGTACATTTACAATTCACATTTGATAGTGTTAACGAGCATGACTAGGTGTCTCAACGGGCAAGCATATGGTAGGTGTCTCAACACTAATGAAGATAATTATGCTTGTTTCAAAATGTTTCACAAGCTGCTTAATTCGATCAGGAACATTTTCCCAGTAGTTCAGGAATAAAAAAAAATTTAATACATGTCACACTGCACTATTAACCTCATTTTCTTTAGGAAGAATTATTTCACATATTTTGTATCAGGATGTATTATATTTATAACAAACTACTTATGGAAATAAGCAAAAATGTCATACAGCCTTCAGGTAATATCAAACTTACCCATTGGTCCCATAAGTTCTAAACAGCGCTCTACGTCTCAGAGGCTGGCAAGGCGAACACCAATACTGCGAGGTGCACGCTTCCCAATGTTACTGTGTGCCAGGATATGATTGGGAGTGCCATACAGGTCCATCAGATGGATTCTGTAACCAGAGATGAAGAGAGAATCAGTGAATGCCACCAGTCGAAAATTTTAACAGCCTTTTACATATTAATACATAATTTAATTTCTATTTTATATATTAAAGTATTATTAGCATGACAAAAGGTATGAAGAAATTCCTTTACCCAAATTCTGTGGTGAAGTGATGATAGTCCCTATATCTTCATCCATCGGGCTATGTGACATTCTCCAGGAGGCCATGGGCATCAAGTCCTAAGATGTGTCTTGTCTGTGTTGACATCACCAGGACGTGACTCGGCATCCTCTTGTGCAACAAGCTTGCAGTAGCTTGTTCTTCACAAGCATAGTCAGTGACGGTCCACTATTTCCCATTCGTCATGAAGGATATTCATCTGTCAAGTTCCCTTTCATTGAGTAAATATAATAATAAACCAAATGTGTTTATCTGTGCAAAAGAATATGAAAATTCTGATATTTTTAAGTCTATGGTAATAATTTACTTATTACATATATTTTACATATTAACTGGCTCATGACCAGTTATTTGGCTGAGATACATAAGATATCATGGTTTTTAATACCACATATTTGTCAGAAATAAGCCTCATTGATAATTTGTTTCTTCTGGAATGAATACCGTACTACAAAGTTTTGAGGGATCAGTATTGCAGATTAACCCTTTTTCTAGATCTTATTATTTCTTTGGCAAGCATCTCAATTGCTAAACTTTGAAGAGAAATATCCTGATAGGTCATAGTGATAAGCTAATCCAATTCAAGGTAACAATTCACTCACCTTCAGCAAGTCAGGTTTGCAGAATCCAGCAGCCTTTTGATTTCAGGTAACATATTTCCTGAAAGTTATAAATTCAGACGATATGGAATTTCCTGGCATTCGACACTATTTTTTTGCAACACTGGAGGCCAAGTCATCCCAAGTCTTGAGATCTTCACTGGTTGCCATTATTTAATCACGAAGAGTCATATCCCATCTTGCAACATCAGTCCTCAGATCAATGATATCATCCAACAAATCCAAAGTACCACTAGAAACCTGAACAATTTTCTTCATTCACTGATACTTTAAGTGAGCTTGTAATACAAACACACACACAAAAATTATGGAGGCCATTTAAAATAAAGGGTTAATAATTTTGTTATTAGACTTAATAATATATTCAATTAAACTATACTGTCTGAGAAATTTTTGATTTCCTCAATACTAACTTCAAAGTTTACATTTGATGGTATGTCATGAAAAAAATCATAATCTGAAAATAAAAATGTAATAAAATAAACAGAAAATAATACATATTAATGAGGCTGTTTCCTACAATTGCCTGAGCCATCATCAAAAAATCAAAAAGGATATAAGAATATCCTGTACCCTGGGTTATTAAGAAAATATTTTAAGAAATATATTGAAACCAAAAAGGTGTCCATATTGTTTAAATATTTGCACCTTCCCAGCTTGGACCTTCCATCCATTAATGTCCTTCCATCCATCATTCATTTCATCATTATGATCATCCTATTTGTTTTTACCTAAAGCACTATTATATATTTTTTGTGTTGTATCAATATGTTAACCAAAGTACACTTGCTTGTAGTGAAAATGCTTGTAAAGGGATGGAAGCACAGCCCTGATAAGTGCAGATGTACATCTATTGCTCAGCTTCACATTGAGAAATATTCAAATTATGATATAGGTATCATAGTTGCCTGAGGGCAGAGGATAGTTTTTTCTCTCCAACAGCACATTTTCTTCACATATATTTTTTACCGATTCATTAATTTCAGATGTCATTCTGCAATGAGTTATGATGCATGAGTTATTAAAGGAGTTATGATGCATGAGTTATTAAAGGAGTTATGATGCATGAGTTATTGAAGGAGTTATGATGTATGAGTTATTGAAGGNGAGTTATTGAATTTTCATGAATGGGCTATTGCACAAAATTTTTATTTTACAGTATCACTGTTTTGTGTGCAACCTTGAAAAAAACTGTAGCTCCTGATGTAAAGCGAGACATTTGAAGGAGACAGATGAATGATGGATGTGAATGAGAAGGGTGAGAATAATGTTGTTTGCTATGAGAACATTTGAGGAATGGTATGTGATGATTATGGGTTTGTTGGAAATGTTAGAGTTGGCTGTGATTGATAATAACAAACAATGTTTAGATTGTGTAGAGGCTTGGAGCATGGTGGATGGCAAGAATAATGTCTTAGTGAATATCTAGTTAATTTAACAAAATAATATTCTTACTTGAGCTCCTGCTAATATTTTCTGAGTAAAATACCTAGGGGCTAACCTGGGTTATAGATGTAATTTCCTGTAATTGAGCAACAGGTATAGATGTAAATATTAAATTCACCAGGATAAATAGCTGTGACAGACACAAGTAACATCATCCATGCAAACTTTATATTAAAATTTGATTAACTTGAAATTAACTTAATTTTTATACTTGAATTATACATACATTTACTTATTAAATTAACTTCATAAATTCAACTTGGAATATTAACGTAACCACATTAGTTTTCTCCAAAAAATCTTCCATATATTTGCTTATAGAATCCTTTTCCTTCTCTATTCTGACAACACTTGCATCCTGAAATTAATGTCATTATCATCCTATACTGTTACACTGTTACAGTATATTTTATACACCATGGTAAGAGAACTGTTATGATCTCATCTTTGGAAATCCAAATTTGATGAAATTAATGAGGTAGCAAAAAGGGAAGGAGACCTTGCATGGTTTCACCATTGCTTGGAAACTCAAATCTTGACTCCAAATCACTCGGTTATAATCTGTAATGAAAATTTGCCTTGAAGATAATGCTTCATACCAAGCAAATTTAGATGGAAATATTACCACACAACAGCCAGCTGAGACATGAGGTTATCAGTTAGTGCCTGATAATCAGGTATAATTCATGTCATTCATGTTTCAAGATAAAACTGCAACTGTTGGAAGCGTTTGACCAGAAAAGTGTATACATTGATTGCTTCTATGAGCTCAGTAGAGCAGCAAATTAGGGATTTGATGACAGCTACGAGGTGTGAAAATTGTAGTCAAAATTTGTTGAGGTGACTGTGGTCAAGAACTAGAAACAGGTCAATGTTGTGTAATCAAAGATGAAATCATTGTATTCTGTATGTATTTTATGACAAGAAAATTAATATTGATGAAAGGCATATTACACTAGTCAATTTTATGTGCCTCTATGGTTTGGCTCTTTCATTTCATTGGCCAGCACAAGCTGACTATAATGTAACAAAAGATATTACTAACATTCCAGCATCATCATTCATTTCAATGAAACCTCAATATTGCTTATTTCTTAGAAAATTCTTCAGTACTCATTTATATAATTTCATGAATATAAGTCAGTGATGGCCGAGTGCTCACTACAAGCAAAAGCACTTCTGGGCTCTCTTAAAAATCAAAATTTCAGGCATTTGAGTCATGCTGAGCTAGTCATCACTGACTGTGTTATGTCTTAAGAACAAAGTGGTCTCATAAGCTCATGCAGTTACTTATTGAAAATTAAATGTTTCATGGTCCTCTGGAAACTTGATTATATGATTCCAAGAGTTGTTAATACTTGCAGATTAAGAAGATCTTGATGACTGCCAAACTAAACTGCCCAGAAATATTGGTCCATATAATTTGTATGGAATTTCTTCATTAATATTATTATTATAGGTACAAGTTCATTATTTCCCACCTTTAGAGTTGAAGAATCTTGCTAAACAACTCCCATCTCCACACAACCCCCATCTCCACCAATCAGACTCCAAAAAACACCCTCTGATATCAAGATAATGCAAATAAACACAAATGGACTCACAAACAAAATAGAAGACCTCAAACTAACCACAAAACAACATGACATCGACATCATCACAATCCAAGAATCCAAACTTAAACCAATGACTCGCACACCCACTATACCTGACTATACTGCTATTCGTCTAGACAGGGCTCACAAGACAGGAGGTGGACTCATCATCTACATTCATAATAACATAGTTTTCACATCTATCACTATTCCACAACACATCAACCAAGAAGCCACTGAAACCCAACTAGTCAAAATACATCTCTCTAACAACAAATTCGTCCACATAGCTAACATATACATCCCTCCCAGGGACACACGCCTACCACACCATCACAACCTAGACCAACACATCACTGACTGTTTCACATTCCTCCTCAACAAGCCCTATACCATTATTACCGGAGACATAAATGCCCACCACCCATCCTGGTACTCTCCTAACTCAGACCACAGAGGCATCCTCATCAACTCACTTATACAAAATTCCAACCACATCATTCTCAATGAAAACTCGCCAACATGGATACCCACTACAAGAGAACAGCAACCCACGTCACCAGACATATCTACAGCCTCAAACGTCATCTCAAGCAAAATAACATGGTCAACTATCACAGCTCTCAGTTCCGATCATGTTCCTATCATATTGCACTTTCGCACCAAAACCAACTACCGCATAAAAACCTATAACAGATCTTTCACAAATTACCATAAAGCAGACTGGACAGCCTACTCGCAGGAAATAGACCAAGAGCTCCGTGACACTCCAGCACCCACCAACGTTCACATTGCCAATAAGATACTTACTGGACTCATTCTACAAGCAGACTAACACCATATACCCAAAGGAAAAATAAAAACAAAACAGACACCTCTACCCCAAGCCATCAGAGACAAAATACAAGAACGCAACCACATCAGGACACAAAACAGACACAACCCAGCTATCCAACAACTCAACAGAGACATAGACCTTGAAATAAACACGCATAAACGCAACCTATGGAAAGAGCACCTCGATCGAAACTGGAATAACAAACACAACACACACATTCTCTGGAAGACAATCTCATCACTTTCAAAGCTGTACCGCAGACACCAACATCCACCACCTTCACCAAGAAACCAAACTCCTACCCCTAACACAACACATCAAACTTCACGCCTCACAACTCAGACAGAAAGCACAACACCCAACCCACCCACTACATACCCTCACCCTTCAGCCGCACCCACACCGTCTCATGAAACAAACCATTTTCCACAACACAGGTTTCACCACAACATAGATACTCCGCCTGCACAAGCTACACAGAACACAATCAAACAAAATCTCAAAACAATCCACACCACAATTACAGAAAACTATCTTGCAACCCTCCCTCACAATAAAATTTTAAACATGCCCGCACCACAGATTCACCCATCTGAAATCAACCTACCTAGACCTGCACGCAGGAACCTTGTCCAACTTCGCACAAATAAATCACCGCTACTTCTCTCATATCTAAATAAAATAGACCCTGCCACACACCCTTCTCCACTTTGCCCACTCTGTCTGTCCAACACACACGACACCATTCATCTTTTCTCCTGCCCTGAAATGCCCACATCCCTGTCGGTGGGTGACCTTTGGACGGACCCCATAAACGCTGCAGGGCTGCTGGCCCGCTGGGGCGACTGACTTGGCTGGCCCCAGAACTGGGTCTAGGCCCCGCCTCGCGCCATGAAGCGAGGCGGGGAGGGTCAAGAACAACAACAACAACAACAGGGGTATTTGGGGTATATATAATATATGAATATGTCCACTTATCATATTATTATTGGATCTTAAAATGTGTAAATAAATTCAACTTTATATTTAGCTAATATTTTTGGAATTGGTAGTGTTACTAGGCTGGATCAATCTTTAATATTTGAACCACATTCCCAGAATTCCACCCGGCCCCGCCGCCACCGCCTCCAAGGCTCCAACGCAGGCTATTCCGTCAAGTGTCAAATCCTATGACACAAACTTTGCCAGTAGCCAAAGTACTACCTTAGTGATTAGTCACCACTCACCAGTATAAAATGACCTTAAAAACTATTTATCAAATAAAACAGAACCATATTTTTGTATGTTAAAGACAGCTTCGTAGAATTTGTAGTCATTGGCAATTGACAATATTAGTATATTACTGTAACTAAAATATTAAATTGTGCGACATTAGATTATGTGATTTGACACACGACATATTTGATACATGCAATGATATTAAATTATGACGAATCAACAGAATAACTTTGCTTCGTTGATTAATTTAGACATGGCGTGAAGTGCCGTCTGCTGTGAACCGTGAATTGACTACGCGATTCACGATTCTTTCGAAATCACACGCAAAGTAAATGACGCGATATTGACCGGTCGGACAAAAGCACATGGGCGTTAGCGTAGGTTACAGCGTGGGCCAGCCCGGCCCTGAACCTGCCCTATACCAGCTCTCCCTTTAGCCACGTTTTATTACCTCAATTCGTAACCAATAATTATGAAATTTAATACATGGTTTCACATGCTTGTTGCGCAGTCGCAACGATTTTTTTTATAATTTTAACTCATCTCCTTTGCAAATAAAACGGTAAAACGGGTGCAAACGGGCAAATTCCGTCATGTAGCCACGTTTTATTACCTCAATTTGTAACCAATAATTATGAAATTTAATGCATGGTTTCACATGCTTATTGCGCAGTCGCGACAATTTTTTTTTATAATTTTAACTCATCTCCTTTGCAAATAAAACGGTATAACGGGTGCAAACGGGCAAATTCCGTCACGTAGCCACTTTTTATTACCTCAATTCATAACCAATAATTATGAAATTTATTACATGGTTTCACATGCTTATTGCGCAGTCGCGACAATTTTTTTTATAATTTTAACTCATCTGCTTTGCAAATAAAAGGGTAAAACGGGTGCAAACGGGCAAATTCCGTCACGTAGCCACGTTTTATTACCTCAATTTGTAACCAATAATTATGAAATTTAATACATGGTTTCACATGCTTATTGCGCATTCGCGACAATTTTTTATTCTTTTTTTTTATATATAATATATATATAATAAAATATATNAAGTCTTGTATACAGGAGAAGTAACTTGCGAAATTATAGGCCTTAGAGGGTTGTCTTCTTTGTGAGTTTTGACGTTTCCATAGAGGTAGCCTGGAGAATAGCTCCCAACAATCGGGGTAAGTTTTTTAGATCCAATTGCAGAGTTCGCTGTGTTGATTAATTTATTAGCTCTCCTCTGAAGTTGTTCTGTTGGATCTCTAGCGACACGACTGAATTTGGACTCGTCTGATACAATTGAATTAAATGGTCTTCAATCAAACTTGCATAAAAGAAAAGCTTCTGCCGAATTATACCGATGTATGTTTATACCTGCACACTCAGCGTCTCTTCACTCAAATAAATCGTAGCTTCCCATCTTAGCTACCGATTCACTATAATAAATTAGCTCATACTATGGAGTTTTATTGGCAACTCCAAGTAGTAATGCAGTGTCTATTTATCACATGAGTATTACAAGACCTCTGCACCATTTTTGGGTGAGAACAAGATCTCAGAAGCAGTTTTATTCTGAGTACATTTACAATTCACATTTGATAGTGTTAACGAGCATGACTAGGTGTCTCAACACTATTGAAGATAATTATGCTTGTTTCAAAATGTTTCACAAGCTGCTTAATTCGATCAGGAACATTTTCCCAGTAGGTCAGGAACAAAAAAAAATTAATACATGTCACACTGCACTATTAACCTCATTTTCTTTAGGAAGAATTATTTCACATATTTTGTATCAGGATGTATTATATTTATAACAAACTACTTATGGAAATAAGCAAAAATGTCATACAGCCTTCAGGTAATATAAAACTTACCCATTGGTCCCATAAGTTCTAAACAGCGCTCTACGTCTCAGAGGCTGGCAAGGCGAACACCAATACTGCATGGCGCACGCTTCCCAATGTTACTGTGTGCCAGGATATGGTCGGGAGTGCCATACAGGTCCATCAGATGGATTCTGTAACCAGAGATGATGAGAGAATCAGTGAATGCCACCAGTTAAGAATTTTAACAGCCTTTTACATATTAATACAAAATTTAATTTTGATTTTATATATTAAAGTATTATTAGCATGACAAAAGGTATGAAGAAATTCCTTTACCCAAATTCTGTGGTGAAGTGATGATAGTCCCTATATCTTCATCCATCGGGCTATGCGACATTCTCCAGGAGGCCATGGGCATCAAGTCCTAAGATGGGTGTTGTCTGTGTTGACATCACCAGGACGTGACTCGGCATCCTCTTGTGCAACAAGCTTGCAGTAGCTTGTTCTTCACAAGCATAGTCAGTGGCGGTCCACAATTTCCCATTCGGCATGAGCTCAAGCTGAGTGTTGTGTATCTGTCAATAGTTTACACGTGAAGGATATTCTTCTGTCAAGTTCCCTTTCATTGAGTAAATATAATAATAAACCAAATGTGTTTTTCTGTGCAAAAGAATATGAAAATTCTGATATTTTTAAGTCTATGGTAATAATTTACTTATTACATATATTTTACATATTAACTGGCTCATGACCAGTTATTTGACTGAGATACATAAGATATCATGGTTTTCAATACCACATATTTGTCAGAAATAAGCCTCATTTATAATTTGTTTCTTCTGGAATGAATATCGTACTACAAAGTTTTGAGGGATCAGTATTGCAGATTAACCCTTTTTCTAGATCTTATTATTTCTTTGGCAAGCATCTCAATTGCTAAACTTTGAAGAGAAATATCCTGATAGGTCATAGTGATAAGCTAATCCCATCCAAGGTAACAATTCACTCACCTTCAACAAGTCAGGTTTGCAGAATCCAGCAGCCATTTGATTTCAGGTAACATATTTCCTGAAAGTTATAAATTCAGACGATATGGAATTTCCTGGCATTCGACACTATTTTTTTGCAACACTGGAGGCCAAGTCATCCCAAGTCTTGAGATCTTCACTGGTTGTCATTATTTAATCACGAATAGTCATATCCATCTTGCAACATCAGTCCTCAGATCCATGATATCATCCAACAAATCCAAAGTATCACTAGAAAGCTGAACAATTTTCTTCATTCACTGATACTTTAAGTGAGCTTGTAATACAAACACACACACAAAAATTACGGAGGCCATTTAAAATAAAGGGTTAATAATTTTGTTATTAGACTTAATATAATTCAATTAAACTATACTGTCTGAGAAATTTTTGATTTCCTCAATACTAACTTCAAAGTTTACATTTGATGGTATGTCATGAAAAAATTATAATCTGAAAATAAAAATGTAATAAAATAAACAGAAAATAATACATATCAATGAGGCTGTTTCCTACAATTGCCTGAGCCATCATCAAAAAATCAAAAAGGATATAATAATATCCTGTACCCCTGGGTTATTAAGAAAACATTTTAAGAAATACGTATATTGACACCAGAAAGGTGTCCATATTGTTTAAATATTTGCACCTTCCCAGCTTGGACCTTCCATCCATTAATGTCGTTCCATCCATCATTCATTTCATCATTATGATCATCCTATTTGTTTTTACCTAAAGCACTATTATATATTTTTTGTGTTGTATCAATATGTTAACCAAAGTACACTTGCTTGTAGTGAAAATGCTTGTAAAGGGATGGAAGCACAGCCCTGATAAGTGCAGATGTACATCTATTGCTCAGCTTCACATTGAGAAATATTCAAATTATGATATAGGTATCATAGTTGCCTGAGGGCAGAGGATAGTTTTTTCTCTCCAGCAGCACATTTTCTTCACATATATTTTTTACCGATTCATTAATTTCAGATGTCATTCTGCAATGAGTTATGATGCATGAGTTATTGAAGGAGTTATGATGCATGAG